ATAAAACTGCCCTTTTGTGTTGTATATAATTCAGCAGTGACACTTACATAACTACAGTGAGCCATGACAGTTTAACCAGATTCAAATTTTACTGCCAAAAAGTGTACCATTTTTGACAGATATATAAAAAATGAGTTACAACAGAACCAGACTTTTCTTGTAAATGTTTAGTTTAGTTTGGAACTGCCTACTGCCTTTGGATTTGCTTTTCTATGTCTTGGTGAATTTGGTGCACAGAACTCCATGTTGTTTAAGACAGTTTGGTGGCAGGCTTCATCTTGGTAATGCTGCTGAATGTTTTCAATCTCATATATGTTCTTCCCAGAGTTTGATAGATATGACATTATTTTTTCTTAGTTCCAAGCAAATTTTAGGTCATCTCATTGTGTGTGTTGCAAAGAACTTCACAATATCTTTAATAACTCCCTGTGGGGTGCCTGGAAATTCATTCTATTCACTTCAATCAATGGATTATGTTGTGTCCTGTGCAGAGTATCCAGAGTGAAAAATTCCCATTTCTAATTTTGAGGCTTAAAAGTTCTAAGGTTTTTGTCTGTGTAGTATTGTACTTGGAATTACTGTGGCATTCTACTTATCTCTGTGTGTGAGTCTGTTTATCAGGGAAGGCAGGGGTGGGGTTAGAGGATGAGCAAGACAGATTGTTGTCAGACTCCTTTATCCCTGTTAGGATTAGTAAGGGGCCAATATTGTACATAGATTATAAATAGGCAAGCAATTTCTGGGAAGTATAAAAAGTTTCTTAAGATCACACACCTGGCAGGGACTTCGCAGATAAAAAATACAGAAAATGTTTAAGGAGTCAAACAAATGAGGCATGGGATGGAAACGTGTTGATGGTGATGGGTTAGAGATACAAGCCCAAGGGGGACAAAAAAGATCTATGTTGTTCATCTCTGTCTCACCTATCATGTGGCGTGAGGTGGTACATACTGTAGGTGTTCAGCAACTATTTGGTGAGTGAATGATAAAACAATCCCAGAATGACCAAAGGAAGACCCTCAAGAATATAAAACTAAGTCAATTATAGAAAGTCTCATGGAATTCAGGTTTGATTAAAAAGAACTACAGGATCCAGAAGTAAAGTCCAAGTACAAATTTAAGGTGAAAACAAACCCCATATGTTGATCAATTAAGGGATATATGCTACAGAATATCTTCTGGTCTGATAGCTCTTTTACTCAGGATTCCTGGGCCTGTCTCTGCCTCTTTTCTATCATTGGATAGGATGTGCATGATTATTTATCTTTATTTCTGAAAACAGATTCTACCACCAGGTGGGTGAAGGAGACCTGAGGTCTGGATAATGAATTTATATTAGCAAGTAGTTTTGAATTTCTACCAAACCGAGTGTGACTTTAAAACCTCTCATATCTCAGCAATTAGCCCCAAGGCATGTTCTGTCAGTGCAGTTTCCTGTTCGTGTACCTAAATGGAGTTAATAACAGGACCTACTCACTGGACAGCTGTGAGGGCTTGAGACAGGGAGAGATGTGTGTAGATGTGTGCTGCTGCTATTGTTGTTGTCATTATTATTATTATTAACCAGTTTAGGGATTTTAATTCTCCATTGTACATCAACTTTTGCTACAATATAGTCACTTCACTTCACTTTGCTGAAGAGCATGATGTATTTCTCTGAGGCAAAGACAGCACATCCCACTAGGTACTGTGGGCAATTAACACATCACATTGATATCTACTTAATTGGCTGTACATACTAAAGCAAATATTAATCAGGCAAAGTAGTGGGTTTTCGGTAAGAGATACAAGTCTGTAGAGGTAGATGCAGAATGTTGCTATTTTGTAGAATGGAGATACAAAGAGATTTTTCAGAGAAACATCAGATTTCCCCTTTCAGTGAGTAGCATGCTGGCAATTGGGGCGGACGGACTGTGAGCCTCTTGAGGTGAACCGGAACTGGCAAACATGTTCAAGTCTTCCCGGAAATGATTGATTTCTTCCGTTTGGTGGGCAAGGACAAAGCCAAAAATGAGAACACTAGGAAAATGGAAAAGTCTCTATTTCTACAAAATAACCTAAGTTTAGTAAAGCCCCTCAGAAACAGTCAAAAAATTTTAAGTTGTATACTTTAAGCCAAAAATATAATAACCTTTGTTAATTGAAATAAAAAAGAAAATGTATTCAGTCATTTTTTCCTTACCATTTTTATATAACCAACAGTGTATGGGTATATACTTATAATGCTAGAAACTAATGCAATGTATCACTTTAGAGAAGGAAGAAAATAATCGTCATAGTCCACATCTCTTACCTTGATTCATAGCGCAAATATATCTATTCTTGGAGCATTACTGCAGCTTTGGTGCTCAGAAAATTGCGGTGGATGAAAAATGATTCTGCAGCCTTTCATCCTTCACAATTTTCACACCATCTCAATTAGTTTAACTTTGCAATCATGCCATCTAGTGCTCAAACGTCCTCAGTACTACAGCTCAACTTCATTAGAAGCAAAATAATACAGTATCAGGCAAGTTACGTTAAAAACACTGTGCTTGGGGACAGGCAATGTAATGAATACTCCATCGTTGAGACACTAAACCAGATTTCTTGCTAAATAAATATTTCTTGTTTATCATTATTGTTTCATTAATTTATTGCATTTAATTCATAAATATTTTTGTATATTCTATTTATATAGTCATACAAATTATACATAACATACACCATATATTGAAATTATACTTATTTTATTTTTGTATTCCTTTCTGTGTCTTTCTATAACTTTAACAAAATGGTCATTGAATTTGAAGGCAACACAACCCAACGACCCAGTCATGGATTGGATTTGATTAGAATGGATTGGATAGAGTGGAATAAAAAGATGGAAATCATTTATTGTAATATTTGATTGCATTGCATATCCTGCCCCAGGTTGTGGTTTTGCTACTGCTGATGACTGTGCCTTCAAGGGTCAGGTGCTTCACGACATACCAAGAGAAACACAGAAGGGTTTTGGATTGCACGAAATATAGCAATTTACCAGAAAAGAAAAAAACTAGGGTCTTTTTTTTGCTTTACCATTGAGACTATTTTATATATCTTTTTTAAAAAAAATTAGGAAAGTATTTTTAGAAATTAATGAGCTTGAATAGTTTTCAAGATGTCCCAGAGACATGATTTTTGTGTTCTTTCCTAGCCTTTAAGATGGCCTCTATGTTGTCTATCGGTTCAGAAATTTAAGAGAAAAAATTCATTTCTGTAATTATGAAAAGAATAAAATTGATTAAAGACAGGCCCTATCAGATCACCTCCATCATTTTAGCATCCGAGAAAAGGTTGACAATATACCAGCTCTGACTACTCTGATGTTAAAATGGAAAACCTCAGCCCTTGCCCTGATTCCAAGGTAGATGAAGTCCTATGGTCCATGAGGATGCTCCCCTCTGCTCAGACCTCATCCTCTGAGCTCTTTCTCCCTTAGCCTTTTGTCAGCTCCTCAAGGACAGGACACTCCATCCCACTTTGGGCGCTGTTTACATGCCTTGCTTTAATCGGAATGACTTCTTTTATTCTTCACTCTCATTTAGTTCATTCTTACACCCCCTCAGATCTTACCGTGAGCATTATTTCTTCAGAGAAGCCCTCCAACCCCTGAATTAGTCCTTTCTTGTTATTAGATGGCACCCCAAACGTTTCCTTATTACTACTCACCACATTTGTAATTATATACTTGTGTTATTATCTACTTTCTATCTCCTACTCCCACTAGATTATAAATTATGAGCAGGCTAGAATATTCCTTTTTATAACGCTTTAGGGTCCTAGCCACTGTGTTTTCTATAATGCTTGTTACAGAGAGGTTATGCAGGAGATAGTTGAGGAAATCAACCTAAGAGTCCAAAATTGAGAACTGAGATGCCCATTGTCCCAGCCCATGTAGATTTGTGAAGTCAACTCTGCTTTTATGTCACCCTTGGGGCAAGAGAATTGTCACTGAGGCAGGAAATCCTGGTGCCTCTATCCCAGCTTCTGAAGGAATACCCCTCAGCGACTTGTCACTTCCTGCAGCAGAGTCTGGGATTGGAGTGTTTGTTCCCACCACTTACAGAATCCCTGACCTTGCTCACCACCACTCTTCCCACTTCTTGGGAATCAATTGACCTTTCACTCCCTGACCACCACTCTCCTTCCCACGCTCTTGTTCCTCACCCCCAAAACAAAGCAAAGCAAAACAAAATAAACCCAAACCAACCTCCTCCTCCTGCCTCTACTGTCAGCCATCTTCATGGATTAACAGAGAGATACAGATAACAAAATATAAATTAATATTTCAGTAAATTATCCTATCACTCTGGTATTCAGCAGAGAATAAAAATAAATTTTACACAAAGGACACGTTAAGTTTTCAGTGTTTATTTTTGTAGCACTTCCCTTCTCTTTCTAGAAGACTGTAAGGGTCACCAACTATCTTAGAATATCAGACAAGCAATCATTCTGAGATCAATCATCTTCAAAGTGAGTTTTTCTTAAACAGTTAAAACATACTAAACTTTAGGTGTCTATAACCAATCACCAATATCTTCTAAAGAATAAGAAATGAATTAGGATCTATAAGTAATTAAGTTTGACATTGAATACATATATACACACATATGTAGATTCGGTGTTTTTTGGTGCATTGTATTATATTTTATTATAAATCTGGTATATATATTCTCGTTTTAGAAAAATAACACTTTTGCTTAACATCAAATACACACAAAAGAAAAATGCTTGCATTTTTGAATATTTTCAAACCACACTGAGGATTCCAAGTGTCTCTCTGGATCCCTCTCTTTTCCACCTGTGGTAGCGTCTAATAGGTGTTACCCAAGCATGTGCTTCTTGAAAGCTGGATCAACTAATTCAATTGTCAACTCATTTAGAAGTCTGACTCTTAGATGTATACTTGATGAAAAAACTAACCAAACGGTATGAAGTTCACTCCGTAGAAACTCTTTACACTTCTACCTCCACAGCAACACAGATGTACACACAGTGGCATCACTTCTTAAACTGTATCTCCGAGAACTTCCAGAACCGGTTATTCCTTATGCCAAGTATGAGGATTTTTTGTCTTGTGCCAAACTGCTCAGCAAGGAAGAGGAAGCTGTAAGTCCATGCATTTATTTCTTAAAAAGCTATTGTTTGGGTTTTTTGTCAGTGTTCTTAGTCTTTAATCTGTAAAGTTTCCTTTGTCCCATGCTTAGATTGTTTTCCACTATTCTAAGTATTGACATCACACATATTTAGATTTTACACACACAACGCAGGTCCCATTTTTAATCCTCTCTCTGATCAAAAAGAAAAGTACAGATGAATAAATGAAATCAGCAGTGCTTGCCACTTTGCACCCAAATGCTAAAAATCGGAAGGACTCTCACTATATTAAAGCTACTCCTTCCCCCAAACAACCTTATTACAAATAAGGCAAACTTCCCTTTTCAGTCAATTGTGAACAAATGTTAAAAATGTTAAAAGGGCTTCACTTAAACATGTTTCTCCACAAATAGTGCTTACAGAGATATTTGAAATTCTTTTACGTCTTTTGAAAATATTTCTGAAATGTTTTCTGTGATAGTGGCAAGTTTTCAAGACAGTATCCTTCACTGGTAATATGTGAAACTAACTAAAAAAAAAAAGAAAAAAGGCTGTATGCCCATTTTCCATGTGCTTTAATTCCAAGGCCAACACTTAGATAACATTTATTCTCTTCTTTATATTCAGGGTGTTAAAGGATTAGCAAAGCAGGTGAAGAGCTTGCCAGTGGTCAATTACAACCTTCTCAAGTATATTTGCAGGTAAGAATTGTCCTAAAGACAAAACTAGGCCTTCCCTGGTGGCGCAGTGGTTGAGAATCCTCCTGCTAATGCAGGGGATGCGGGTTCGAGCCCTGGTCTGGGAGGATCCCACATGCCGCGGAGCAACTGGGCCCGTGAGCCACAACTACTGAGCCTGTGCGTCTGGAGCCTGTGCTCTGCAACAAGGCCGCCATAGTGAGAGGCCCGTGCACCGCGATGAAGAGTGGCCCCCGCTTGCCACAACTAGAGAAAGCCCTCGCACAGAAACGAGGACCCAGCACAGCCAAAAATAATTTTAAAAAAAAGAAAAAACTAAATTTAAGAAGACTGTATTTAGCCTGACACTAATTTACTTTTGACAGTGAATAAAAATCACTTAACTGCTCTGACCTCCAGTGTTGGCCTCTATAAAACTGAGGTTTGACAAGGTGATTTTTTTTTTTAATAAATTTATTTATTTATTATTTATTTTTGGCTGCGTTGGGTCTTCGTTGCTGCCCGTGGGCTTTCTCTAGCTGCGGCTAGTGGGAGCTACTCTTCATTGCGGTGCGTGGGCTTCTCATCAAGGTGGCTTCTCTTGTTGCGGAGCACGGGATCTAGGGTGCACGGGCTTCAGTAGTTGTGGCACATGGGCTTAGTTGCTCCGCGGCATGTGGGATCTTCCCAGACCAGGGCTTGAACCCGTGTCCCCTGCATTGGCAGGGGGATTCTTAACCACTGAGCCACCAGGGAAACCCTTGACAAGGTGTTTTCAAAAGTTTCTCTGAGCACTAAAATTGTTTGATTTAGTAATTTGCTGTTTCTGAAGTCTCTCTGGCCTCTACATATTAAAGATATGTTGCTTTGAACTTCCATCCAGGTTGTTTATAATTGTACCATGTACCATTGTTTAACAGAAGAAGCGTGTATCCTGGCATGAGAAAGATCTGCCCAGGAGTCCAGATTCTACCACTGACTACTTACGTGTCTTTATGCAATTTTCTTATCCTCTTTGAGACTAAAGATCCTAATAGGTAAAAAGGTAGTGAAAACACATATTTCACACAGCTGTTTTAAAAATTAAAGTATATTTTAAAATTTTATATACCTATACATTTATACATATAGTGAATGCTAATATTAATTTTTTCCATTTCTCTCAAGACTCATTGAAAAAACATCGTAACTCAATTCTGCTAGAATAATAATTGTGCTTCATAAAGCTCTCTCTCAATGACCATGTTTAATGTCAGGGATGCTATGTACCATGTCTGTGCCCCTATTTAAGAAATCAAGTATGTACTATTGAAACATATTAAATTTATTTTTTTTAATTTTATTGGAGTATAGTTGATTTACATGAAACATATTAAATTTAAATAAAGAGATTAATGATTGGCACTACAGGTCATTGTAAAGTATTTTAAACGATAGCTTCCCAGTCCATTTTTAAATAAAATTAAAATTTTTAATTCAGTACAGTGCATCATTTACATGTGTTTTTTGCGTCATGATTAGATAAATGTACAGCTGACTGGGAACTATGGAGTTTAAGACTCATGCCAGACACTGTGGAGTTCATTGTCAACTGTAATTGAGTAGGAATTCCAGAACCTCCTGCCATACTTTTTCTGGTGATGGTTAGCATTCAGGTAACAAACAAGACCTTAGGTTTCAGAATTTGAAAAAGCAAGAAATAGTTTCACAGATAAGATAGACTTATTAACATAGAAGGGTTCCATCCCAAGTTTTTGAACTAATTCAAGCTATTGTAGTGGATAAGAAAAGGATGACAGTCTCTTAAGTAAAAGGGAAAAAGGTTTTTTGGAGAACAGTATTGCAAGTCTTTATCTCCACAATAGAAAACCTTAACTTCTCTTAACACATTTAAAGCAGACTTTTAATTTCAGCTATTTCAAATAAGAAATAGTAGTTTGACTTTTTGCCCTTCAGTTTTGCTATAATTAGGCTGTATAACAGTAGTGAACATGTGGAAATAGGCACTTTTTAATTTTTATTTTTGGCCACGCTTGTGGGATCTTAACGGCAGTGAAAGCATGGAGTCCTAACACTGGACCACCAGGGGATTCCCAAACAGCGCCTTTTTAAAAACTCATGGTATAGTAATCAAGAGTTCAGATTCTAGCGTCAGATCACCTGGATTCAGATCTCAGCTCTGCAAACTCTGTGTTCTTGGAGAAGATTCTTACCTCTCTGGTGCTTCATGTGTCTAACCTGAAAAATGGAGATAATGGTATTTACCTTACAGAGATGCTTTGAGAGTTTAATAAGTTAGCACGACTGACACATAATAAAATATATTATTTTAAATAACACATAAAATAGGTTAAAACTTTTTTCATCACTTCTTTGTCTCATTAGTACAATCAGTAAGTGTAAGGTCGGATCTTAACAAACGGCACCGCGAAACAGAGGAAAGCTTCAAGTGAGCTTTATTAGGGAGCGCTCCCGGGGCGAGGTTCACTGGTTGGAGAGAAAGGGGCCAGAGAAGTTGCACCCGGGCGAGGGTTGGGCAAGATTTTATAGGGGAAGAAGGGAAAGGGGTGTGGTGAATCTGGGAGGGCGCAGGGTATTCCTTATTTGGTGGTCTTTTCCGGTATCCTGGGGGACCGTTAGTCCCGCTCCTCGAAAGGCGGGAAGGCTGGGCCGGGTGCAAAGTCCCCAGGTCAGTTCCTGGAACTGGGTGGTCCGGAAAGTCTCCAGGTCAGTTTCTGGAACTCGGTGGTCCGGAGAGTTTCGGTCTGATGCAACCTGTGAATCTGATTGTGTTCCCCTGCCTCGGGCCAGTTGGCCTTACAGTAAGCCATGAATTAATAGAAGTTCTTGTAGAAACAAAGAGGGGATGGGAAATGAAGAAAAGCTGAAAAATTACAAAAACAATCTCTGCTATTAAAATCATTTGGAGATAGTGGGAAGCAGCCGCATAGCACAGGGAGATCAGCTCAGTGCTATGTGACCACCTAGAGGGGTTGGATAGGGAGGGTTGGAGGGAGGGAGATGCAACAGGGAAGAGATATGGGAACATATGTATATGTGTAACTGATTCACTTTGTTATAAAGCAGAAACTAACACACAATTGTAAAGCAATTATACTCCAATAAAGATGTTTTAAAAAAAAATCATTTGGGGAAAGGGCTATTTCATGCCTCTAATTCGTTAGCACCTAACAAGTTAAAACAATTTGTGCTTGCAATTTTCCATATCAGTAGAACTGAGGTTTTATTTTAAACCATGTTTGATCTCATTTTTTAATAGACTATAAATTCGAAGCTCACAAATTACTCCACAAAGAGAGTTGATTCCTCCTCTCTGAAATAAGAGATTGTACCAGACAATCTTATTTATAGTTCTTGAATTAAATATATATATAAATTTAATATTTTATTTAGGGATTGGAAAGAAATTCATATTCTTGAATCTCAAGTCCACATTAGCATTATCCAAACACTCTTGTTCCTGTGACTGACAGGGAAACCAAGCCAAGCCAGGCCAGAGCAGATATTTGATATGATCCCTTATGAGTTTGATCCTTAATAATTTGCAATATACATTCTGCACATTTGACAGAGAGATGTTTGAATTCCTAACGAATTTTGTGTCCATAATCATCTTTGAATGTACTCCACTTCATAAATTTCCTGATAACCCATTTTCTTCCACTAACAAGTTTGATCCCATTGTGTTTTGTTCATACTCTTGCACCCAACAGGTTCTTGGATGAAGTACAGTCCTATTCAGGAATTAACAAAATGAGTGTGCAGAACTTGGCTACTGTCTTTGGCCCTAATATCCTGCGCCCCAAAGTGGAAGATCCTTTGACCATTATGGAGGGTAGGTAAATTATTATCTTACACCCTCATCAATAGAACTGTCTCTTTGTTGTCTTGAATCTATTCTCCTATGAGGAAACTAGGGAAATAAGTGAATCCATGGTAACTCCATTCATGAACTCAAGTTCTTCAAATACAAAAACTCCTCTTTGGGAGTCAGACATTTTTTTTGGAGTCTACTAAACATAGCTTACCAAACGATTCCTTAGGAGTTTTATAAGAATAAATGGAACTTCCATAAGTCATCTGCAAAATATCACACAAAAATGGGAAAAAATCTAATTCACTTTTTGAGTCCAATGCAATTTTCAGAAAATTCAAATAGTTACTATTTTAAGTTAATGTATTTTTATTAATTCTGGTTTTATTTGACGAATTTCAAGAGGCAGAAAATATGGGCCATTGTAAGATAATGCTGCTTATTTACCTTGGGTTAAACATGAAGAAATTCTTGTTTTCTATATTACAAAATGCCTCAAATTCTTTTCCACAATGAACTGTTACTTCTGTTTATTTCCAGCAGGCCTCACTGCTTGAGTACTTTTCTTACCTGTGACCATCAGTAGTACTGTTGATGTGCAGGTCTTGCTGAGCTGAAAGAGTAAGGTTAGAAGATGGAAAACTCATTAAGCAGCAGAAAAGAGAGAACTAGACATAGAGATTGTTCAGAGATCTGCAGAGGGTATTCCTCAAGTCTTTGCCTAAGAATTGATTTATGCTTGCACTAGAGGACTCTACACTGCTTTCTGGGAGAGAGTACCAGAAATCAGTACTCTGAGCCATTCCTGGGCCTTACACCAAGCTTGAAATAATTGTGTTTCCCACAACCAGAGTAGAAAACCCTGACATTGAGACATTGTATCGAGACCTCAGAAAGGTATTACCTTGGTGATAATGTTAAAAGTTACAGTCTCTATATAAAGTTTTTAAAAGAAATCCCAATGATTCAATAGAGATTTGGGGAAGAAAAGGAGGAATAGTTGGAGCACAAAGGATTTTTAGGGCCATGAAACATTGTTCTATATGATACTGTAATGGTGGATACATGATATTATGCATTTGTCAAAACCCAGATCTCACAAAGAGTGATTTCTAATATAAACTGTGGACTTTAGTTAATAATAATAATAATGTGTCAATATCGGTTCATCAATGGAATCTAAAACTGTTAAAAACCTAAAACTGCTCTAAAGGTTTCACATTAGAAACTATGCAATTCAAAAGGACATGGATCGGGCTTCCCTGGTGGCGCAGTGGTTGAGAGTCCACCTGCCGATGCAGGGGACATGGGTTCGTGCCCCGGTCTGGGAAGATCCCACATGCCGCGGAGCGGCTGGGCCCGTGAGCCATGGCCGCTGAGCCTGCGCGTCCGGAGCCTGTGCTCTGCAACAGGAGAGGCCACAACAGTGAGAGGCCCGCGTACCGCAAAAAAAAAAAAAAAAGGACATGGATCAAAATAAATCCTATAAATGTAAAAAACTCCAACTTATCTTCAAACCCCTAACTGTATAGCAAAAAAAGTCCAACAGAATTTAAAGATATTTTTTCCAAATTAAAGCAGTGTGCTAAAAAAGAAAACATATGTTCCCCTAAGACTTATAGTCAATGTTTATGTCAACTTTATCCATAATATCTCCAATCTGAAGACTGATCAATTGTCCTTCAATTACTGAATAGATGAACAAATTTTGATACATCCATGAAATGGAATTCTACTCAGCAATAAAAAGAATGAACTACTGATACATGGATAACAATATGGATAAATGACAAAAGCATTATGCTAAGTGAATAATGCCTAGACACAAAAGACTTCATACTGTATAATTGCATTTATATGAAATTCTAGAAAAGAAAAAACTGTAGTGACAGAAAGCAAATCAGTGGTTGCCATGGATAGTGGATTGGCTACAAAGGGGCACAAGGGAATTATCTATATAATGATTAGGTGGTGATTAAAGGACTGTCATTTGTCCAAATTTATCATATACCTCACAGATATCTTGTACATGTGCAAAATGAGACATGTACAAGGTAATGTATTGCAAAAAATACAACCTGAATCTACATTTCAATAGAATGTTGCCATACATATGTATTTTAAAGTGCCTAGGTACCTTCAAAGGAAAATTGAATTCTTATCCAGTTCTTATGAAAAAAGTGTCCCATAATATGGTATTTAAGTTCAACCTGTATAAAATTATATGAGCCTGGGGAATTGTTGGAACATGTAGTCCAGTGGGACTCCCAAATCTGCTTGGACTCTTCAGAATGGACAGGTGATTATAACCACTCTGACCTCATTTATTTCGGCTTCATGTTTCTTATTAGCATTCTAAGGAAGAGAATGACAGAGAGGGGAGAATAAAAAGGAAAAAAAGATAGTGCATATAATGACACATACATCATTATTACTACCAGGCTAGTCTGTCCTAAATGGCTATAAAAATTGAAAGGAAGTCACTTTGCAAGAAATGATTGCCATTTACTATTCTGGAAACTAGATGAAAGCAAAGCCTTCCAAGGTAATAGAAATATATTTCTAAATCTCTAGGGATCTGACACTCACTCTATAATCATGGCAGGTATACACTGGCATAGTCCTTCACATATTTCATCATGGAGACCTTGAGGATATCTCTCTTCAATTAATTAAATGCCTCACACAGTTCACAACTGTGATAAAAAGCAGTGATGTTTCTAAATTGCTACATAATTGATATGACAATCCAGTTTTCTACAAGCCAGTCTTAAAAATATTAAATCCAGTTATCATCCATAAGTCGGTCTTAAAAATATTAAAAGTATTTGCAAAAATGTGAACAGTGTACCTCTTCTCCTTACTTCGATTGTTTTTAAAAAAATAAATACATTGTTTTTATTAATATGTAAAAAAAAAAAAAGCAGTGATGTTTCACATGTTAATATTCCAGTGATGGGGAAAGCTCAGAAGTTACTAAAAGAGAAAAGATAGATATAGAATACCATTAATTTCATTCAGTCTTTTTTCTTCCAAAACTCCATCATAATTGATGATTCAGTAGATAGTTGTCTTTTATTTAGTTTCTTATTAGAATAACACCGAGTTTACTTATTATTACTACAGTTTTAAATCCAGCAGCTGTTCTAATTTCATTCTTTTACATGTAGCTGTCCAGTTATCCCAGCACCACTTATTGAAGAGGTTGTCTCTTTCTCCATTGTTTATTCTTGGCTCCTTTGTCATAAATTAGGTGACCATGTGTGTGTGTGAGTTTATCTCTAGGCTTTCTATCCCGTACCATTGATCTATATTTCTGTTTTTATGCAGATACCAAACTATACCGTAGTATAGTTTGAAGTCAGGTAGCCTGATTCCTCCAGCTCCATTTTTCTTTTTCAAGATTGCTTTGGCTATTCGGGGCCTTTTATGTTTCCATACAAATTGTAAAATTTTTTGTTCTAATTCTGTGAAGAAGGCCAGTGGTAGTTTGATAGGGATTGGATTGAATCTCTAGATTGCTTTAGGTAGTATAATCATTTTCACAATGTTGATTCTTCCAATCCAAGAACATGGCATATCTCTCCATCTGTTTGTATCATCTTTAATTTCTTTCATCAGTGTCTTATAGTTTTCTGCATACAGGTCTTTTGTCTCCTTAGGTAGGTTTATTCCTAGCTATTTTATTCTTTTTGTTGCAGTCGTAAATGGGAGTGTTTCCTTAATTTCTCTTTCAGATTTTTCATCATTAGTATATAGGAATGACAGAGATTTCTGTGCATTCATTTTGTATCCTGCTACTTTATCAAATTCATTGATTAGCTCTAGCAGTTTTCTGGTAGCATCTTTAGGATTCTCTATGTATAGTATCATGTCATCTGCAAACAGTGACAGCTTTACTTCTTCTTTTCCAATTTGGATTCCTTTTATTTCTTTTTCTTCTCTGATTGTTTTGGTTAAAACTTCCAAAACTAGGTTGAATAATAGTGGTGAGAGTGGACAACCTTGTCTTGTTCCTGATCTTAGTGGAAATGGTTTCAGTTTTTTACCATTGACAACGATGTTGGCTGTGGGTTTGTCATATATGGCCTTTATTATGTTGAGGAAAATTTCCTCTATGCCTACTTTCTGGAGGCTTTTTATCATAAATGGGTGTTGAATTTTGTCGAAAGCTTTCTCTGTGTCGATTGAGATGATCATATGGTTTTTCTCCTTCAATTTGTTAATACGGTATATCACATTGATTGATTTGTGTATATTGAAGAATCCTTGCATTCCTGGGATAAACCCCACTTGATAATGGTGTATGATCCTTTTAATGTCCTGTTGGATTCTGTTTGCTAGTATTTTGTTGAGGATTTTTGCATCTATGTTCATCAGTGATATTGGCCTGTAGTTTTCTTTCTTTGTGACATCTTTGTCTGGTTTTGGTATCAGGGTGATGGTGGCCTCATAGAATGAGTTTGGGAGTGTTCCTCCCTCTGCTATATTTTGTAAGAGTTTGAGAAGGATAGGTGTTAACTCTTCTCTAAATGTTTGATAGAATTTGCCTGTGAAGCCCTCTGGTCCTGGGCTTTTGTTTGTTGGAAGATTTTTAATCACAGTTTCAATTTCAGGGCTTGTGATTGGTCTGTTCAGATTTTCTATTTCTTCCTGGTTCAGTCTCAGCAGGTTGTGCATTTCTAAGAATTTGTCAATTTCTTCCAAGTTATCCATTTTATTGGTATAGAGTTGCTTGTAGTAATCTCTCATGATCCTTTGTACTTCTGCAGTGTCAGTTGTTACTTCTCCACTTTCATTTCTAATTCTGTTGATTTGAGTCTTCTCCCATTTATTCTTGATGAGTCTGGCTAATGGTTAATCAATTTTGTTTATCTTCTCAAATAACCAGCTTTTAGTTTTATTGATCTTTGCTATTGTCTCCTTCATTTCTTTTTCATTTATTTCTGTTCTGATTTTTATGATTTCTTTCCTTCTGCTATCTTTAGGTTTTTTTTGGTTCTTCTTCCTCTAATTGCTTT